GCAAAACCAAGATAGTCCCGGATCGCTTTCGACATTCGGTTGAAAAATTGTTTCATGAGAGTGTGATTTCAGTTAAGCTTGTTTTTAGAAGTTTCTTTTTATCTTGTTTTGTAGTATCTTGGTAAAACGCACAACTCGTGGCATCGTTCAGGACTTATGTTGGAGGACTATGCCAGTTTGTGTGAAGAATATTCCAATCATCAGATAACACATCAACAACAACAAGTCATTGATTTTTCACCGTTTGAAGAAGACCCGTCAGAAATTAACCAACATGTATGTTATAAACCATGCAATAAGCTTCTTTTGTTATACTTAAATTCCTTTTGACATCGCCACCTCTGACTCAGAGATTGTTACAGGCCTGATTTTGAATGGATTTGAGAGAGATTTGAAAACAATATCGCTTTTGTTGGTTCATTATCGATAACGTCCATTGCAATGCTTTAAAAACGTTTTGCTGATGTTTCAATTCGTTTTTCTTATTAACGAGTCTCTGTTATCGCAGGTGAAAGGAATGCGTTTCTTTCTTTTGATGTAAGTCAAAGTAAGGGCTGTAAGGCAAAGGGAGAGCAGTATAGGAGAGACAGAAACGTCCGTAGTTTTGGTTAATGATAAACGAGAACTGTGAAGAAACAGAGAAGGCGTTTAGTAAACTTCCTTCACTAAAAACGTATGGTAGTTGTTGACACTCATGCGAGGTATTGTTTCTTTGTTGTGATCAGGAAACTCTTGACGCTTTAGCGGAGATGTACTCATTACTAAATGAAGAAGACATGTGGGCTGGTCTGTGGCAGCAGCGCTGTCGGTATCCTGAGACAGCCACTGCTATCGCGTATGAGACCCAGGGCTTCTATGAACAGGCACAGTCTGCTTACGAAGTGGTACGTGAAATATTACGTTAATGTGTTGCGCACTAATTGTTTTTCTGCTTTGTTTAACTATTATGTTGGCATGTTGCGCACTATTTGTTTTCTACTTTCTTCACCTATTGCGTTGGTGTGTTGCGTATTATTTGTTTTCTCCTTTCTTAAGCTATTACGTTGGTGTGTTGCGCACTTTTTGTTTTATACTTTCTTTAACTATCACGTTGGTAAGTTGCGCACTATTTCTTTTCTACTTTCTCTGACTATTACGTTTGTGTGTTGCGCACTATTTCTTTTCTACTTTTAACTGCTACGTTGGTGTGTTGCGCACTATTTGTTTTCTATTTTCTTTGGCTATTACCTTGGTGTGTTACGCACTATTTGTTTTCTACTTTCTCTACCTATAACGTTGGTGTGTTGCGCACTATTTGTTTTCTACTTTCTTTAACTATAACGTTGGTGTGTTGCGCACTATTTGTTTTCTACTTTCTTTATCTATTACGTTGGTGTGTTGCGCACTATTTGTTTTCTACTTTCTTTATCTATTACGTTGGTGTGTTGCGCACTATTTTGTTGCTACTTTTTTTATCTATTACGTTGGTGTGTTGCGCACTATTTGTTTTCTACTTTCTCTAATAATTACGTTGGCATGTTGCACTATTTGTTTTCTAGTCTCTAGCTCTTACGTTGGTGTGTTACGCACTATTTGTTTTCTAGTTTCCTTACCTATTACGTTGGTGTGTTGCGCCTATTTGTTTTCTACTTTCTTTGCCTATTACGTCGGTGTGTTGCGCACTATTTGTTTTCTAGTTTCCTTAAGTATTACGTTGGTGTGTTGCGCACTATTTTGGTTCTACTTTCTCTCACTATTACGTTGGTGTGTGGTGCACTATTTGGTTTCTACTTTCTTTGACTAATACGTTGGTGTTGTGCGCACTATTTGTTTTCTACTTTAACTATTACGTTGGTGTCCTGCGCACTATTTGTTTTCTTCTTTCACTAATACGTTGGTGTTGTGCGCACTATTTGTTTTCTACTTTAACTATTATGTTGGTGTGTTGCGCACTATCTGTTTTCTACTTTTACTATTGCATTGGTATGTTGCGCACTATTTGGTTTCTACTTTCTTTAACTTTTACGTTCGTTTGTTGCGCACTATTTGTTTCCTACTTTCTTGAATTAGTACGTTGGCATGTTGCGCACTATTTCTTTTCTAGTCTCTTTAGCTCTTACGTTGGTGTGTTGCGCACTATTTGTTTTCTACTTTTACTAATACGTTGGTGTTTTGCGCGCTATTTGTTTTCTACTTTGACTATAACGTTGGTGTTTTGCGCACTATTTGTTTTCTACTTTTACTATTTGGTTGGTGTTTTGCGCACTATTTGTTTTCTACTTTAACTACTACGTTGGTGTTCTGCGCACTATTTGTTTTATACTTTCACTAAACGGTGTTTTGCACACTATTTGTTTTCTACTTTTACTATTAAGTTGGTGTTTTGTGCACTATTTGTTTTCTACTTTAACTATTACGTTGGTGTTTTGCGCACTATTTATTTTCTACTTTCACTATTACGTGGGTGTTTTGCGCATTATTTGTTTTCTACTTTTACTATTACGTTGGTGTTTTGTGCACTATTTGTTTTCTACTTTAACTATTACGTTGGTGTTTTGCGCACTATTTATTTTCTACTTTTACTATTACGTTGGCGTGTTGCGCACTATTTATTTTCCACTTTAACAATTATGTTGGTGTTTTGCGCACTATTTGTTTTCTACTTTTACTAGCACGTTGGTGTTTTGCGCACTATTTGTTTTCTACTTTTACAATTACGTTGGTGTTTTGTGCAGTATTTGTTTTCTACTTTTACTATAACGTTGGTGTTTTGCGCACTTTTTGTGATCTACTTTTACTATTACGTTGGTATTTTGCGCACTATTTGTTTTCTACTCTCACTAATTGGTGGGTTTTTTTCGCACTATTTGTTTTCTACTCTCACTAATACGTTGGTGTTTTGCGCACTATTTGTTTTCTACTTTCACTTTTACTTTTGGGTTTTGCGCACTATTTGTTTTCTACTTTAAGTATTACGTGGGTGTTTTGCGCACTAATTGTTTTCTACTTTCACTTTTATGCTGGTGTTTTGCGCACTATTTGTTTTTAACTTTCACTATTACGTTGGTATTTTGCGCTCTATTTGTTTTCTACTCTCACTAATACGTGGGTTTTTTGTGCACTATTCGTTTTCTACTTTTACTACTACGTTGGTGTTTTACGCACTATTTGTTTTCTGCTTTTACTAGTAGGCTGGTGTGTTGCGCACCATTTGTTTTCTACTTTCGCTAATACGTTGGTGTTTTGCGCACTATTTGTTTTCTACTTTCACTATTACGTGGGTGTTTTGCGCACTATTTGTTTTCTACTTTCACTTTTACGTTGGTGTGTTGCGCACTATTTGTTTTCTACTTTCACTTTTACGTTGGTGTGTTGCGCACTATTTGTTTTCTACTTTTACTATCACGTTGGTGTTTTGCGCACTATTTTTTTTCTACTTTAAGTATTACGTTGGTTTGTCGCGCACCATTTGTTTTCTACTTTCACTATAACGGTGTTTTGCGCACTATCTGTTTTCTACTTTAACTATTACGTTGGTGTTTTGCGCACTATTTGTTTTATACTTTCACTATAACGGTGTTTTGCGCACTATCTGTTTTCTACTTTATTACGTTGGTGTTTTGCGCACTATTTGTTTTCAACTTTAACTATTACGTTGGTGTATTGCGCACTATTTGTTTTTTTTCTTCACTATTACGTGGGTGTTTTGCGCACTAATTGTTTTCTACTTTCACTTTTACGCTGGTGTTTTGCGCACTATTTGTTTTTTAACATTCACTATTACGTTGGTATTTTTTTTACTATTTTTACTATTACGTTGGTATTTTTTTCTACTTTCACTATTACGTTGGGTTTTTTGCGCACTATTCGTTTTCTACTTTTACTATTACGTTGGTGTTTCGCGCACTATTTGTTTTCTGCTTTTACTATTACGTTGGTGTGTTGCTTACCATTTGTTTTCTACTTTCGCTAATACGTTGGTGTTTTGCGCACTATTTGTTTTCTACTTTAAGTATAACGTGGGTGTTTTGCGCACTAATTGTTTTCTACTTTCACTATTACTTTGATGTTTTGTGCATTATTTGTTTTCTACTTTAACTATTACGTTGGTGTTTTGCGCACTATTTGTTTTCTACTTTAACTATTACCTTGGTCTTTTGCGCACTATTTGTTTTCTACTTCAACTATTACGTTTGTGTTTTACGCACTATTTGTTATACTTTCACTTAAATGTTGGTGTTTTGCGCACTATTTGTTTTCTACTTTTACTATTACGTTGGTGTTTTGCGCACTATTTGTTTTCTACTTTACCAATTACGTTGGTGTGTTGCGCACTATTTGTTTTCTACTTTCACTTAAATGTTGGTGTTTTGCGCACTATTTCTTTTCTTCTTTAACTATTACGTTGGTGTGTTGCGCACTATTTGTTTTCTACTTTTACTATTATGTTGGTCTGTTGCGCTCCATTTCTTTTCTACTTTTACTATTACGTTGGTGTTTTACGTACTATCTGTTTTCTACTTTAACTGTTACGTTGGTGTGTTGCGCACCATTTGTTTTCTACTTTCACTATTACCTTGGTGTTTTGCGCACTATTTCTTTTCTACTTTTACTATTACGTTGGTGTTTTGCGCACTATTTGTTTTCTACTTTACCAATTACGTTGGTGTGTTGCGCATTATTTCTTTTCTACTTTCACTATTACTCTGGTGTTTTGCGCATTTGTTTTCTACTTTAACTATTACGTTGGTGTGTTATGCACTATTCGTTTTCTACCTTCACTATTACGTTGGTGTTTTGCGCACTATTTGTTTTCTACTTTAACTATTACGTTGGTGTTTTGCGCACTATTTGTTTTCTACTTTTACTATTACGTTGGTGTTTTGCGCACTATTTGTTTTCTACTTTTACTATTACGTTGGTGTTTTGCGCACTATTAGTTTTCTACTTTTACTAATACGTTGGTGTTTTGCGCACTATTTGTTTTCTACTTTTACTATTACGTTGGTGGTTTGCGCACTATTTGTTTTCTACTTTTACTATTCCGTTGGTGTTTTGCGCACTATTTGTTTTTTTACTTTTACTATTACTTTGGTGTTTTGCGCACTATTTGTTTTCTACTTTTACTATTACGTTGGGGATTTGGGCACGATTAGTTTTCTACTTTTACTATTACGTTGGTGTTTTGCACACTATTTGTTTTCTGCTTTTACTATTACGTTGGTGTGTTGCGCACCATTTGTTTTCTACTTTCGCTAATACGTTGGTGTTTTGTGCACCATTTGTTTTCTACTTTAAGTATTTCGTGGGTGTTTTGCGCACTACTTGTTTTCTACTTTCGCTTTTACGTTGGTGTTTTGCGTACTATTTGTTTTTTATACTTTCACTATTACTTTGGTGTGTTGCGCATTATTTGTTTTCTACTTTAACTATAACGTTAGTGTTTTGCGCACTATTTGTTTTCTACTTTTACTATTACGTTGGTGTTTTGCGCACTATTTCTTTTCTACTTTTACTATTCCGTTGGTGTTTTGCGCACTATTTGTTTTTTACTTTTACTATTACCTTGGTATTTTGCGCACTATTTGTTTTCTACTTCAACTATTACGTTGGTGTTTTACACACTATTTGTTTTATACTTTCACTTAAATGTTGGTGTTTTGCGCACTATTTGTTTTTTACTTTTACTATTACAGTGGTGTTTTGCGCACTATTTTTTTTCTGCTTTTACAATTACGTTGGTGTGTTGCGCACCATTTGTTTTCTACTTTCGCTATTATGTTGGTGTTTTGTGCACTATTTGTTTTTTACTTTTACTATTACTTTGGTGTTTTGCGCACTATTTGTTTTCTACTTTTACTATAACGTTGGGGATTTGCGCACGATTAGTTTTCTACTTTTACTA